TGAGGTTTGCCTTCTGAGGTCTGCAAGCTACTGTCTGCCTTCCCTTGAAACAGCAAGGATGGACCGGCTTTTCACCTAAAACAATTGTTTAAGAAAGAGTGGAACTTATGATTAAGCAAGACCTACTTAAGGGCTTGTAGACTCACCAGGAGGGGCAAGGTAGAATCAGACAGACCTCACTTTAATCTCAGCTCTGCCCCATTGACAACTGAAAAGTTATCCAACCTCTTTTAGCACCAATTTCCATATCTGTAAAATGGGCATCGTAATACCAACTTAGAGGGTTGTTGGAAAGATTAACCTAATGGGTGTAAGGGGCCTAACTCCTAACAGGTGCCTAATAAAAGGTAGCTTTTACAATTGTCATAAAAATGATCTTAAAGACAGACAGACAGACACACACACACACACACACACACACACACACACACACACCCCTCATTTCACAGAGAAACCCCTCAGCTCAAAACCCTGGGATGAGTCTTAATTGGCAGCACCAGAATTAGAACCTCTACACTCCCCTGTCCTGTCCTTCATTCTGACCTCTGAACCCTTTCTTAAAGGATAGAACCAAAGAATTAATCCTGAAATAATAAACAAATGCATGAATAAGCTCAGATGTCTTGCAGCACCACCAATGTTATAGATCATTCCAAAAGCATTTCTCTATTGGGTAATATTTAGATGCAAAGCAATGAATAGGCTATACATGGATACAAAGATAGACATCATCCTTTTCCTCAAGATCTCACTAAGGGTGAAAAATTCAAGCATGAATGTAGACTCAATTCAGAACACCTTTTAGGTTATTATAAGTATTGTAACGAAGTAAAAAGGGTCTCACCACATATCAAAACAACATGGAATTGCATTGTTAGTTGAAACTACTCCACGATTATTTCCTCCATTCTCTATGGCACCCCAGGCCTTAAATCTGGAACATGCTGTCACCACTACATTTGGTAGCATTTCTCATGAAAGAAAAAGAGAAGACCATCCAAGAAAAAGTGAAAAAGTGATGCTAAACATTGCCCTTGAATGTTAGCATTTAAAAGTTTTATTTTTTGCATAAAAATTGTAGGACATATGTATAATCTCATATTATTCCCAGGTGGAAAATGTGCATTTTTATTTATTTAAGAGTCAGGTCAGATTATCAAAACTAATTTAAAAGAATACCATTACTATGAAGATGTTAGGTCATAGTGACCTTAGAATTTCCCTCCTATCAATGCAATTTGAAATGGATAAATAATAAGCCAGCCCAGATTTGCAAATCCTACAGAATCCTGGATTGTAGTGGCCATTAGAATTTAATGCAGATAATCCCAGAGCCAGAAGGAATCATGGAAGCTGTCCTTTAAGACCCTGTGCCGTTCCAACTTTAGACCCTCCAGAAAGATGAGACTCTGCCTGGCCTCCATAAATGTCACCACCTTCCACCATGACCAGCTCCTCATGGTTCAGTGGGGTGTGTAGGAGAGGAAATCAACCTTCAGCCTCAGAAGTAGCCATCCTCCCTGACCTCCAAGCTAGGCTCCCCACCATTTTCCTTTCCTCTTCCTGGGACTCAGTTCTCTCTTTGCCGACTTCTCCAGCCCCATTTCATTTCCTCCCACCACACCACCTTAGATGGCTCTGCTCCCCCACAGCCCTTCCCAGCCCAGTTCACCACTGCCAAGGTCACCTCCATGTTCTGCTCTCGTCGTCTTACTTCTCCAGGTGGTAGCCCAAGTTCTCTGCCTCCATTTTTAAATGGATCTTTTTTCTTAATACCCAGAGTATGTAAGGGCCTTAGCACACAGTAAGTGTTCACATATAGCAACCTTGATTATTACTGATATCCTTATTATTTCATCCCCATAAGCCCACCAAAATGGCTGCTCCACATAGTGGACAACCTCATAGTGACTGGTCCAGTGGTTGTTCTGGCCATTCTGCCATTAGGGTCAATTTGCATATTACCCTTTTATTATATAGGACTAGGGGCCCGGTGCATGAAATTCGTGCACTGGGTGGGGCGGGGGGAGTGTCCCTCAGCCCAGCCTGCCCCCTCTCACATACTGGGAGCCCTCAGGCGTTGATCCCTATCACCCTCCAATCGCAGGATCGGCCCCTTGCCTAGGCCTGACGCCTCTGCCAGAGGTGTCAGGCCTGGGCAGGGGGCCCCCAGCTCCCCGCGGTTGCAGGCTCCGCCCCTGCCCAGGGCTAACGCCTCTGGCCAAGGCGTCCCGCCCGGGGAACGGGGACCCGCAGTG